CGTGCAGTGCTACGCATAACGACTGCTTTCGATATCTCAAACTACATATATACATATGTATATACTTATATACACATACGTGTATGCAATGATTTTAGGCGAATTAAACCGTACGAGTCTCGTTCCCTTTTAGCATCCTTCCTTTGATAGCCGATCATCTGTCATTAATTCGAGTAACGGCCGAGTTTCATTAACACGTAGAGTGGAGTTAATGGTGATTGGCATTCCGCTTCGTAGACTTCGTTTACAATGAATGTTCGTAAGGTTTAATTTCTACTATACTTTGTGGTATATCTTTTCCAAGAACATTGACATATTATATGCCGTATAATTTCTTTTCTTTTCTCAATAATTCAAATATTCATTACAGGTATGTAGATGTTATTTACTTTTAAAATATTTTCTAATTTATTTCATTGTTATTATTTTAAAATCAATTGAAACTAGACAAAAAATTAGATATTATGTTATTCTAATAAATGTCATCCCTAATGATAAAATTTATTATGAGATAGAGGTTTATACAGTTTCGTGTTTAGTATCTTTATTAGTGTTTATTCATTCATAGTGGCGAGTCCAAAGGACTCTTGAAATTTATTGCAAATAGGGAGAATCGACAAAGTCCAAGAAACGAATATGGCCAAAGGAGAAAGTAGATATGTAATCAACGCTAATTTTCCACGTTAAAGTCGTCGGAGGTGTGTCAGATACCGCTTATTATGGCCGCAATCTTAGATTCGCCATTTTCTATTATTACCGGGTAATAAATTTCACAAACAATCGTTCACGTCATAGAGAACGAAGGTGACCATGCGAGAAAGGAGCTAGACGAAGATTACCGATGCGGAATGCAGATAAATCCACAAGAATAACTGCAATTGGCATAATAACTAATTATCGATCGATATTCTCGGATAATATTTTCCCAGAATGAAAAGGGTTAGTGAGGCAAGGCGAATGAATAAAAATAATAACATGAATTTTCAATTTGAAAAAAATAAAAGAATCGTGACTTATTTTTACATTGATGTATACATTATTGACCACAATTTTGGAAGCACTTGCTGATTTCCATAAAAACCTATTACATATACCGATAAATTTGAAACGATTTTTATAAATATTCAGTTGAATTATGTTTTAAAAGATTTCAGCATTTTTTTAAATCTTTATAATGCTCTCTTATACAGAATTTATAAATTCGGTTTAAAGTAATGCTAGGAATGAACCAGGCTTTCATTCAAAATAAAAACAATACGAAAAAATATACTCATTATTTGATAAAAAAAAAAAAATAATACAAAATATAATACATACTAATAAAAAATTTTGATAAAAAATAAATCTGTCTCTGGTTCTTTATTTGAATTGAAGTAGTATCAATTTCAAACTTGTGTATGTAAAATGAGTTACGAGAGTATTTTCATACCACTACTGCAAATTTATATAATGCATGTATATATATCCTTTTAAATATAAAATCAAACGACATGAAATATAATTGATGCATGATTAAATCAAAAATAATCCTGCCGGCACCCATTGTCCGGTGCATTGTCCGCTATGTAAATGGACAATGAGTACCGGTGTGCCAGTCAACGTGTTAATGAAAGATAAGTATATTATTAATGCGACGTTAGTCAAAGAAAAAAGTAGGACGAAACGAAAGAGACATATGTGAGCAATCTGGCGATATAAACCGGACGGTATTAACGTTACGATTTCGTGAAGCTTCGATAAGCACGTGTCTTATCATTTGCTTTCGCCTCGGATTAAGAACCAATCCCATCAATTTTATCAATACACTCCAACGTAGGTATTATAAGTGTGAATTAGTGATTTAGATGCAACATATTTTATAATACATATGTGTGTGTATATATGTATTCATACGTTTATATGGAACTAGTAGGAACTAGGAAAATAATAACAATGTCGAAGAATTTTAAATCCGCTCGCTCATTTTCTTAAATTTTCTTTCATTTTTTTCCCTTTTCCGTTTCTTTACGACGACGCATCGAGTTACTCCCACCCTTTCCTGCCGCCTGTTTCCTAGCCATTTATACCCTCTTATATTCGCCACATTTCTGCAAGAAGCGTGTCTCGTATTATGCAAATTTCCGTCATTGCTTTGACTTGCTCTCTTCTACCTGCTCGAATTATACCGGATATGACGTCATAGCGTGAAGCATTAAACCTACCGCATGGTGGACAGTATAATTAATATATGCCGTGCAGATCGTAGGTACTAGCAATTAGTTTAATGCCGCATTTACTGTCGCGACGTAACTTAATATAGACTTGATCAATATTGGCCAGATATTTTTATCGTTTTACTTTTTATATTTATGATTGATTGTACAAAATTGCTTGCTTTCTTTTTTTCTCTCTCTCTCTCTCTCTCTCTCTCTCTCTCTCTTTCTTCTCTTTTTTTAATTCATATTTGTTGATTTCCATTCTCAAAATAATTCTTTCAAAATTTGATTAATTCGTAACGAGCGAGCGAGGACGAAAGGAAGTGAAAAAAATAATCAATGACTTCTCGAGTAGAATAGATAACCTAGTAAACTTTGTTCATTTACGGGAGGGGGGAGACAAATCATGACAATTTTGAACGATAACCCAAGTCTTTTGATTATTATTGGGTCAATCGATGAAGAGAGAGAAAAAAAAGAGAAAGAAATTCTTCCTTATATCTTTTATCCAACGAGACACCTTTCGTTGTTGCCTATAATGTACAGTCGTTAATTACAATCTTCTCGACGATCAAGATAAGATGTCGATAAAAAACTGACACGTGGAGATTACGAACTCGTTTGTCTGTCTTTCTCTTTCTTTCTTCTATCTTTTATTAGATCTCTCTTATAAATGTGGATCGGCTATGTGGATCGTAAACCAGATCAATACGAACAAAAACGTCACAAAACATTAAAAATTAATTTATACTCGTATTTATATAATACTAGATAAATATATATATATATATATATTACTGTAAAGGACTGAAATTAAAAAATGTCAAGATTTATAGGGTCATTTGATATATTTCCGAAATATTAATCTATAAAAATAAACCCGCGAATTTTCCGTTTATCATCGATATATTTGGTATATATTGACATTTAACCATGTGAATCTAGATATTTTTCAATATCCGATCTTTCACTGCAACATATACATTTATCTTTCGATTATTAGATAAAATACGTATTTTTAGAAGAATGTTCAATGAAAATCGCTACGATTATTGAAGGAAAATCATTCTTTGCTTTTCGATAATAAATTTTACAATTTTATTTAACGCTTTGACAGAAGTGTTAGATCGGCTTAAGTTAGGTGTTAATAAAAAACGAAGGAGAATAATATGTTATTTCATAATCGTGGCTGACCATGCGATAACTCGCAAAAATATTTCACGATTTCAAGAAAAAGAAAAAGTAAATAACATTGGGTTTACGTATCACACAGGGATCGCCTGGCAACAAGTAGTAAAATTATTTTAGAACAGTTACGTATTCGTTCCACTGGTTAGTGTATGACACGGTTATCTTAATTACTACTACTAATACCACTGTCACGACTACAACATAATCAATCTTACTACTACCATTACTATTTATTACTACTATTGTTATTATCACTCTTGCCATTGATAATGTTATTGCAAAGATGTGTCAGGGTTATCGCTTGCAACATTGCCGCGAATTTTTAACCCGCCAAAAGAAGGCTAACTCGAAAGATTATGGGAACTCGATGAGAGTGAGATGATTAAAGTCAGAAAGAATTGTTAAATCACTTTTCTTTTTTCTTTCATTCAATAATATGATTAAATAAGAATAATATATTTATGTAACCTTTACACGAATTTTCACGGTTTTCTAAGCAATACTTCTATTACAAACTCTCTCTCTCTCTCTCTCTCTCTCTCTCTCTNCTCTCTCTCTCTCTCTCTCTCTCTCTCTCTCTCTCTCTCTCTCTCTCTCTCTCTCATCTTTTTCTTTCTTTTTATTTCTTTATTTTTTCTATATCCTTAATTCTCAAAAAATGAAAGATCTAATTTATTCCAGCATAGGAATATTTACTTCATATTAATGTGTATATGGACAAGTGAGTAGAGACTACGTGTTAGCATCGGGTTTTCTCGCCACGTAAGCTAGACGTATACACAACGTGACCTCGAGCTCACTATCACTATCGTACCGTGATAAGCCGACGACCGTGCAAAATGCAATCCCTCTTTTTTGAAATGGTTGCCTCAACGGTGAGTTGATACGAGTTCATCGCGTATAACTGTATCCATAACTTCTTTTCCTCTTTTAAATCCGTTAACTTGTATAATCATTTCTTTGAACTATAATAATAACAATATTAATAATAATAATAATAATAATAATCATCATCATCATCATTTCATTGATTCGACGATTCGTCGTGTTGGATATTATTCCTAAAAAAATATACGTTCACTGGTGTCTTAATGAAAGAATTTCGTTGACAGTTTTAATCATAGACATAACATATCGAGCAACGGGAAATATTTTACATACACACACCACACCATTACACACCACACATGTAATATAAACTTATATATATTAGATTACTCGTATCATGATTAGCATAGATTTGCTTAAATTGCATCGGTGTTAGAAAAATAGGTTTGAAAGAATGTATGAGAAAGTTGTTTAAATTTATCATTATCATTTGTGATATTTAATGCACAATTAAATAAAAGTTTAATGTAAGACAAAATATTATTTCATCGAAATAGTTACACTAATAATAAGAAAAAATATAAACGATCATTGGCATGAGAATAAAAATTGACTCTGACTCGTTTGCTGTAAATCGTCTTATTCGTTTGTACACATTTATTAACAAATAATGGGACAAACTATAGCGCGCGAAGAGTTTATTACTTAAGTTTTAATTTCATAATGAAAAACAATAAAAAGAGAAAAAAATAATGAACAGGATCAAAGTGAATGTTTACATTCCAGGTCACCTGATTACACGAAAGGCATCTTCCAGAGCATCGGCTTCAAAGAGTTTCATGATTACCTCATCTTACCAGAAGAGGAGAGGGAAAGCAAGAAGGTAAGTAAAAGACGTTGGCGTCCATATCTTCATCAACGCGATGTCCGTTGCAGCTGCTCAACTGCCGGCCACTACGTATAATCATGCGTGATTCTCGCTTTATGTGCCGTCATCGAAAAATTCATCCGGGTTGTTTTTGATGATAAGTAGTAGTAGTATTATTACTGGTAGTAAGGCTGGTAGGCAGCTGCTACTTCTTTCTTGAATATTTCCTTAATAAAGACCTTATTTTATTTTTCTTTCTTTCTCTTTGTTTCTACCTCGAAAAATTAACTCAACTTCTTGTTACAACAACGCCCTTTGTAATTCTATCGCATATTTGTTTTAGGGAAAAGATCTACTTAAAGAAGGTCTTGACTGTTTGAAATTGGTTACGAGAAGATATGCTAAGATCCAACAGAAATGGATCAGGAATCGTTTCCTACGTCGAGCCGATAGACAGGTAGCTACACCGTATTATGTATATTTTATGTATTTAGTTATTTTTTTTTATTTTCTTTATACTTATATCATTATTCATGTACCTTCATGTATGTTTACGAATATATCAGGTTCCACCGTTGTATGAATTGGACTGCACTGATTTGACTCAATGGGAGACTAATGTTTATGGTAAGGCAGTCTCGATAATATCTGCAATATTACATGGCGAGAAACCCGAAGAAAGACCTATCAATGAGATTATCCTGAATCAGAAAACTACTGATAGCAGTAATGAAGTGCAAAATTATTGCGAGGTAAGTAGTCAGCTTGAAATTTTATTAACGTCTTGATTACTTAACGTTTCTTTTTCATTTATTTCAGATTTGTGATAGAATATTCATTGGTGAGTTGCAATGGGAAGCGCATATAAAAGGATTTAAGCATTACAAACATGTACAACGTAAAAAAAGAATGGAAAACCAAAATTCGGCAGAAAAGGCAAAATCGTCATAAATTAATACCAAATTTAAATAATAGGATATTATATATATATATGATGTTCTAAAACCATTATTCAATATTTATACGATACATGAAACACATTTATATTAAGTTGACAAAAAGATTTCATTAAATATAGGTCAAAAAGTCAACCATTTCTGATATATCAATATTTTTTGTTTAGTATCATGAATATATTAAGAATATGTCAAGAGTTTATTGAAGTGGAAGGAGGACATGTAAAATACTCTTCTATAAATCGAAAAGCTAATTATGACTCAATTATAACACTAAGGCTTTTTTACTAAGTACAATATACGTAATTATAAATATGCATTTTATAAATATTGAATGTATTTTTTTTTTTTATAACATCCTGTATATATATCTCAATAAGTGTATATTTAAGACTTTAAAGATAAGAAGTTTATATTTTTTCTAATGAAAGTGTTCAACAACGGTCGATAAATTAGATTGTTATTTTATCGATATTTAATAATGTAATTTTATTTTGTATGTTTTCGTATCATACGATGCTCATGCAGAGATTAGCCTGGTTTAATAATTTTAAATGAAAAATTGCAATGCAAATTTAGTAAAAAAAATAATAGTGGAAATAATTATCGAGAGAGATTATGTATCTACGGTCGGTAAAATTTCCTCTGATGATAACAACTTAATAATCTTTTAAGAATTAGATGATACTTTGACGGTCATTATAAATCAATTTTTAAAAAATGATTCAATGATATTAATATTTACAATCATTTCACAATAATTTCAGTTGTAAAATTTATGTTTTTTTAGGTTTCTTTTTCATTGAATAGTTATAAATATTAATGAATCTTTTATTTGTAACGGAAAAGATATCTTATTTTAAATAAATAATTACTTATCCTTTTTTTTTAAATTTATTGGTTTTAATATACATATTTTTTGTCAAATTTTTCATTGACTTTTAATTATACCTTTTTTATGTACCTTCATACAGTTAATATTTTATTTGACATTTTTTCTCTATATTTTTTATATGATATACAATTTCAAACGTTTCGTATGCACGCCTAATACGAAGTTTAATTACAGAGGCACAGGTGTGCAGCGCTCAACCACTTTACTATTTCAATTAACGTAAATTCGCAGTTTCCATTGCCTTTGAAACTGTTTTCAGTTTCTGTGGAAAAGGTCGGATCCTAATAGCGAATCTACGATGAATTGAAATTCACAACACATTTCGAACATGTTCCGCATGTTCTCGTTCTATTCACTATTGTCTGTATCCCTATGGACTATAGAATATTTGCGAATGTTCTGTTTCGTAGCAATTTGGATTAATAAGCAAAAAAATACATTTATCTAATGTTTCAATAACTTTTAATGGTCTAAAGTTGGATCAATGTTACTGAATCGTCTTGTCTACTATGTTTATGTAAGAAATTTTGCTATTTTTTCTTTCTTGTTTAACCACTTGCCCTACAAAGACGTGCCACGCACGTCGAGATGCTTTTGTTTCAAAACTGCGAGCGACGTGTACACCACGTCGATAGACGTTTATCACAAAAATGAAAATGACGTGGTCTACACATCGCATAACAATCAGATTGTTTATTTCTCGAGCTAAAGCTTCAGAGTGTAATAGATTTATATTATTTTACAAACATTCCAAAATGTTTTAAAATTTACCATACAAAAGTAGAAGATTATTAATTAATAAAATATTATTGTTATCGTGAGTATTCATTCATATCCGTGAAAAGTTCTTTATGGAAGAGTCTACAACGCGCTAAGGCGCTGCTTAAGGATAAACACCACTCTAGAATTTTCAAAGAATTGATTTTTTTTTGTAACTTAAAGTATATTTTAGATGTCTAAAAACAATATGCACTTGGTTCCGAAGCAAAAAAAGATTTTAAACATGTCAAAATTTTGGTTTTATCGACGCGCTTTGAAGCGGCGTGAATATTTAGCGCTTGTTATATTGTAGCGCACGGCACAGCAACCGTGAAGTTAAATCGTTGCGCAAGTGGTTAAATATATGGCATGATGATTTTTAAATGAATTGAATTATTAAATTAAAAAGCAAAAGACCAGATTTTTAGTCCTAATTTAGTCAATCTAATGGCCCAATTTTTTTATCAATTCTCCATTATTATTATTATATTACAGATATATTGATACATTTAATATATGACGTTGAATGTTTTTTTTAATGATAATTCTTAGAAAATAAACGTGGTATATAATAGTGTGGTACGATCATTCATCTATGAGTGGTACTTTTTTGATGTCAGACTCAATTTCGTACAATTCATTGAAATACTGGAAACAAAAAAGTCAATGTTAAAATAACGCTTGTTATTGATTTTTTTTTAAAGTGATTGAAATTATACAGAGTGAGGCATTAATTATTGCCACCTAAATTATTTGTGTGTGTTTATAATTTTGTGTATATTGCGGTAATAGAAAATAAAATTTATTCAATATACACGTAATAGTGTGATATTCTTGCGTATATACAGCATCAGAAATACATTATTGCGTAAATATTAATAATATGACATCATAACAGCATGGTGGGTAAAATCCAAAGAACAGTATTATATCAATTCAATTGAATTCGACAACTTAGAACCATTGGAACGATCTTTAGGCATAGAGCAAGGCTTACGATTCGCGAAACTCGATAATAATGACAAAGAGATTATTATGCATATATTGTTTGAATTCACATCAATGTGCATTCGATTCACAAGCAGTCGACTGTGTTAACATGCATGGTTGTTAATAATCCTCGAATTTCGTGTGATATGAATATAATCATACTGAATCGGACGTATAAAGTTTATCAGAGAAATCAGATTTATAGAGTTTCTCAAAGGAATAATTAAAACCTTAACGCGATCAAAATAGTCGATGTTCGTTTAATATTGAAATTTGTCCGTAGGAAATTTTTCAATGATCGATCGATCGAATTTATAAGTATGTCTCGATGTCGCAAGTCGATACGTTTTACTGTCACTTTCTAAGGTCGTTGGTTTATTATTCTTCCGAACGTCCGAAACACGCCTCATTAAATGCCGAATATTTTTCGATTTCCTCACGTGAACTCTTTGGTAATTTGATTCATAGTAAATAGGCGTGGTAATTTATTCAAGGGTTTAATATGTCCATGAAATTTGACAGCAATGACTGGTAAATTTAGTCGCTTCTCGTATGATTCGTTAAAACGACTTTTAAATGGATTGTAAAAAATATTTCTTTCTAAATTTTATTGTATAATTTTTGTTCCTTCTTTTTTTCTTAAGCAGATGTTTCTAATAAACTTTAATAAAGAAATTTTTCAAATAAATATTTTCCAACTTTATAGATATAATAAACGTATTGTTTCAATGTTGGAAAAACAAACACATGTCATTAATAACTCGATTCGCTAATTCATTTTAATTATATTTCTTATCTATATGGGGGGGGGACGATAGTATTACACAGAGAGAAAATTGTTTCCAAGTGTCTGTCGCAATCATACGTTTGCGTGGGATCGATCGAAGCGTACCCTTGCACTTACTGTGTCGCGGTAACTCGAATGCCAAAGTTCATCGTTCGAACGTAAAGATGAATGGACGGGGTCGGATGAATGAACGAACGTGGCTAGCGAGAAAGAGAGATAGAAAGTTGAAGGAGTGGAAAGACGGGTTTGTTTCTCATTGCGGGGTGACGTTTATCGCCATGTAAACGAATGAAAGAAGAGGAAACCGCTTTTATCGCTATGAAACCGTCACGTCCGCTTTCGATGTGCCAATCATTCCTATCGTTTAACGCGAATCCTCCTCCGGTTATGACTAATTCGTTAACATTTGTTTTCCGATAAAGATATTGGATTTAAAAAAATTTTTTTTTATTCAATAATTGATTGATTGAATTAAATGATTAAAATTATACAAATATTAGATATATTTTATTAGTTTAAAAATGGTTATAGGAAAGTATTATTGATATGATTAGTCATTTTATAGAACATTTTATTTTCATTATGAATCTTATGTGCTTAGTTACGTCAAGTTCAGTTGTTATCAAAATGCAATATAAGTTCTAACAATAAATAATTCGAGAAAATTGTTTATTAAAAATGTATACTTTTATTGTAATTAATCTGTAAAGGTAAGTTTTTAGGAGTTAGGAACTGGTTTTCGAAAAAAAGGAAAACCCAAGAAAGGAAGCGATTTATTTTAAAGAATTGATAGGGTATAATAAAAGAAACTATAAACGAAATTTAAAGAGATTTTTTAATAGCAATCGCAAATAATCCACAAATTAGCTTCGAGTAAATTGCACGTGATTGCTGTATATACAATCAAGTGTCTTACGTATTTTTTTATTAAAATCGTTTTCATCCCTATCACGTTTCACTACTCCAAGAACCTTATGGTAATATTTACATTTTCATAATCGTGCAGTATCTTGTGAATAGGTGTTGAAACAAATAGAATGTGATGATTTATTTGTCGATGTGCAATGCTCTTTAAGAACGAATCGACATTTATCTATTGTTTCGTAATTTACGTATTGTGTCGTAATGACATGTGATATAAACATGACAGTTTTCCAGTACATTATGCAATAGCAGCGCGAGAAGTATTCAATAGTAAATTTCCTGTAGATTGGATCGATCGTGGCGGTGTAATCAGTTAGTCATTTCACTGTCCCGATCTTATTTGATTTATTAATGAGCAAATTTTTCTTAATTTTTTACACGAGTATATTGTGACTGATAAACGCTATCTTAAACATTATTTTAATTTAGATAAATTATGTTTTTTTCTTAATGTTCCTTAGGTTTTGACTAAATAAAATATATTTGTTATGGTGTTTGCCAAATTTGTCTGGGTATACGTAAAAAGATGTAGATGTAAAATAATAATAAATTTATTTTAAAAAAAGCTGTAGGTAATCTTAAAAATTCTGAAAAAAGACCGGAAAAAGATTTTGTACAATCATCTTAAGCTCTGTTTGAAACATGTCACATTAATCAACAAAATTTTTGTTAAAACAACTAGCGACGAAATGATCTATGATGACTATATATTTCGTGGTTCATCCTATGTATAAATTTAAAGGTTAATTAGAAATTCAAAATTAGATAATGGAAAGATTTATATAGTTTATTTGTTAATAATATAACATCAAATAAAAGATAGTTTTGGTGCCTACAAATGAATACATTTGAAATAATATTTTTTAATATTCGTATCATATTTTTCTTCGAGAAAATTTCTTTGAGTGTGCCGAGAAAATCCAAGTTATATATATATATTGCGTGAAAGATAATGCTAAAAAAGATCAACTCTGATTACGTATTCAATATCTGACTTTATTTCTTACTGTCCCCCCATCGTTTAAAATCAATCCTTCAGGTTTAATGCACCTTGAATTTAAAATTAAATAAAGCGCAGCGATGTGTATTAATCCGAAATGTCAGAATGGATACCGAGATCAAAGAGAGATCAAAGTATCAACGATCTCTTTTTAGAAATTCTATACGTGGATCGTAATCTTTCGTCAATTGCTAAAGAAAGAAATTAAAAAGATTAATGTTTCAATTTTGGCGAAGAAATATTGCAACATATGTAATACAATCTTTAATATAATATAAGTATTTATAAATAAATAATTTTCTTTCAATTTACATAGACTATATAAATAATAAGTCTCATTTTCCTGTTCAATTAAAAATAGTATATATGAAGATTCACATAATGAAATGTCAACGCAGATTAAAAATACGTCGATGAAAGACCGAATATTTGAGTTTATTTTAATACAATTATATTTCTGACATGCACCAAGCGATTATGTTAATTTTAACATTCTCTAATTTCGATTCTTTACTGTAACACATATGCTATCTTAATACGAGACACAAGTACAAAGAGAACTAAATGAATATCGAGAAATATGTAGTATAATATTATTTTGTTGTAGTTGCAAAATCGTAATTTTCCCTATGTGCTGCAGATAATAGGGAAAAAATTGGAAAATCAGAAAAAGGAAGTCACAGGAGATGTTCGACGATGGAGAGGTATGCTTACGAGATATAGTACAACAAGATAGAAAGAGAAAGAAAGAGAGAAGATGTTAGAAAGAGATAAGGTATCGATAGTAGTCGCGAGATGGCGACGCACTGGCCGACGTCGGGCGTCGTTTGGGCGGCAGTCGCGCGTACGACGCCGTCGTCGCCACGTGGGGAGGGAATTTGAATCGGGCGCCACACGGGGACCGGAGGCCGGTACACGAGCGCGAGAAAGTAAGTGCCGGGACGTATCGCGAGAAATCGAGAAGGAAAGAGACAGAGATAGAGGTAGAGAAAAAGAGACAGATAGAGAGAGAGAGAGAGAGAGAGAGAGAGAGAGAGATAGGTGCTCTGTAGCATACCAGAGTGTAAAAGAGAGAGAAAGAGAGAGAAAGAGAAGGACATACAACGAGCTTAGCCATCTCGAGCGCCGTGCGATCATTCGCACTTGCCGGCTCGCGTTTCCATCGTACAGATAAAGAGTTGTCGTGCGTCTGCTCAGAATTTTCCCCTAAAAAATATTACGTTAAAATTACGATTTATTTAAAGAAATAAAAAAAAAAATAAAAAAATACATGTATATATATTTATATTAGTATAAAGAACAAGAGAAATATATATACATACATATATACATAAGGAAGGGAAGAAGAGAGAGAGAGAGAGAGAGAGAAAGAGAGAGAGAGGGATAGAGGAAAATAAAGAAAGAAAGAAGGCAAGAGTGACGAAAGAGAAGCCGTTGTCAGTGAGTGGCGAACCGTGGGACGGATTGGACACGGACTGCACAAGTCCTTCCGCGAGTCCTTGAACTTCAATTCGTCGATCGATTCGATCGTTCAAGGAAAGGTCGAGAATCGAGGCTAATCGAGGTGTACGTTTAAGGACTACGAAAGCTTGACCTCTCTTATAGACAAGAGCCGACCTTGGATATCAGTGTCGCCACCGTCGCTTTTCATTATATTCACAATTTCTTTCTATTTTTTTCTCAAATTATTTATCTTCTTTTTTTCCGGCATTTACTCTCGACCCTATTTATACAATTGACATTCGTTATTTATCGTTCAGAGCCATTCGAGATATCGACAGAAAATTATTTTTTCTTTGTTTTGTGCTCGTGTGAGTGATCGCAAAGAAAAAGAAGAAGAAGAAGAAGAGGTGGTAGAAAGAAGTATACGATATTAACCACTTATCACGCTGATGGAATGACTCAAAATGTGGCCTAGGTAAGTGCAATTAAGAATGAGAGAGGAAGAGAAAGAGAAACAGAGTGCGCATGATACGTGTGTATCTGTACGAAAGAAGAGAGAATGAGAGAATGAGAGAAAGAGAGAGAAAGAGAAAGAGTAGTTTACAGCATGCGGTCGAGAGCAGTCGAGGGTGGTAATTGGAGGGAGACGAATTAAAGGGGTTAAACGTTGGCGAGGGTGAGTGAGCTACAGGTAGCTCCCTCCGGAAGTTTACAAGACACCGGCCGGTGAATCTTCATTCATCAGATGTATCATTTTCTTGTACTATTCATAGTACCATTCATCATACCGTCATAATGAATAACTCGACAAATAGAAGTTCCATTTAGAATCGATTTTCCTTGTTTTCTATTCTATTCACATACATAATCGATTATATAATAAATCGAATTACACGTTAAGACATGCAAATACTATAGAATTTGCTTTCAGAGAGGAAATTGGTACTGCGAATAAACCGATTTGAGATCGTTTACTCGAAAAGCATTCGAACGCTTCGTCTCAATATGGAAATTCCTTGGTAAATTGTGTTATCGGTCAAAGCAACGTTATCTCTCCCTCTCTCTCTCTTTCTATTTTTCACCCCCTATCTATCTCCCGTCTCTTTCGAACTTACTATGCTCGATTCGATTCCACGAAGAGAAGAACGTTTAGGAGAGATTCAAAGTAGTAGACGGTATTAATCTCCGGAATGGAGAAAGGGGATTCGTACGCACGATGCACTTCGCTTATCGGTATGTTTCTACGTATAACATAAGTGCTTACATACGTACATACCAAAGGATAGATACATGGATACATGGGTACTTTATACCTTCCTTTTACATGGACCAGTAGTGGTGGTTAGTAATGCAGGAAGATGGTAAAGGGAGGATGGGAAGGGTTGAAACCGGCGCCATTAGCGGTTAAACGTTCTCCGAAACTACCTTTGTAATAGCATTTAATTAACAAAGATGTGACTTTATCGATTTTAGACCGGTCGATTAATTTTATTGTGTAATAACGCCTGATTGTAAGAGAGCCGAAGGCTCTTCTTTCGTTCTATCACGATTCATCTTGAAAGCTTCCATAAATTTCTAACGATATCGTAATACATGCCTTTCTTCTTTCCTCTCTCTCTCTTTCTCTCTCTCTCTCTCGTTTAACCTTTCTTAATCTCCTCTTCTTTTTCTTTTTTCTTGTAATAATAAGAAACGTTTATCGTATTTTATTATTTCTTTTTTAATAAAAATCTACAAAGAGATGCACCTACTTACTTTTTGTCTTCTTTTAAGCTTTAATTAGATATCCAATTTCTCATAATATTATGTCAGATTTCTCTCAAGAACGCGATAAGCTCGGATCTTATGAGATTCGTTTTGTATTTCGGGTTACGGTCGAGTTTATTTGAAGAACTGCCTTTTTTCACACGTACGCTGGAACACTTTTATAAAGAGTCGGATTACAAAGAATGAAACAATATGACATACCTATTGTATGACGTTGATAGTAGATATATATATATATATATATATTTATGAATTTCAATTCCTGAATTTCCAATTAAGTTTCGTAAGATATTTTTATTAAAACATGATAAGCTATTATGACATAGCTATAATTCTTCAAATTTTTTATCGATTATTCATAAAATCAACATTTTTTTCGAATAAATTACTATCTTTCGTTATATGTTTGTGTGTGTGTGTGTGTGTGAACCATATTAACTCTTAATTCGTCTTGTCAATTAAAAAGAAATTTGATTTATGGCAAGGTATGAATATCTCTCGATACCTAAAGTTAAAGTTCCTCTTGGCTTTTCAATTTATCTTCAAATCTCAGAAACGACTGGTTATTTGCTCGAATATATCTGTCGAAAGTAGTTGCGAGAACGTCGAAGAGAGATCTCGATCTTTGGTATCCGGAAAAGTTTAACCGCTAAGATTACTTTCTGGTATTGACAGAATGTTTGTTACGTTATATGGACGTCTCTAGTGGAAAACAGGTAAAGGAGTGAGGACAAATGTGTGTGCGAGAGAGAGCGAGAGAGAGCGAGAGAGAGAGAGAGAGAGAAAAGTACGAGAAAATTCCGTTATCAACTTGGATAGAACAAATATCTTGTTGTTTAAAAGCACGTCTTTTTGTTTTCTTCGAATAGAGTTAAACCCTAATATCAATTGACCAGTTCGCTAGTTTCGCATTTCCTCTCGTAAGATAAATAGAAGTGATAGAGAAAAAGAGAGAGAGAGAGAGAGAGAGAGAAAGAGAGAGAGGGGAATAAAAACGATTGGCGATAGAAACGTTGTCATTACCGGTCAAACTCGGAACTATATTGGAAGATCGACTTTCTACGGCCGGAAACACAACTGTTGCGCGTTTAACGTTTTATATTGGCCGCTATCGAGCTAACAAACACGTTCTGTTCGATCAAACCACGGAAACGCTATGACAAAAGTGTATACGTGGATACATAGTAATCAAATTTAAATTGTACATAGAAGTGTGAATAAGGAAAGTAAAGCCAAATATTTTGATAGTATTTTTAATTAAATTATTTGCTTTGTTTTATATATATATTATATTATATTCTTATATGTATATTTGTTACTTTGAATAAAACTATGCAAAAAAGAAACCGATAAAAAATCGTATTAGATAAATCTAGAAAGGAGAGAATATCCTTTGATAATATCACGGTATAAAAAAAGGATAAAACTTTTCTTGTAGTAATATATACAAGGGCTAGATTGAGGGTCAAACGAGGGATTTCAACGTCGATAAAAAAAAAAAAAAGAAAATGTAGAAAAAAAGGGAAAAGAAAATAAAGATCTGAACTTATAGCCGATCGACATAAAGTAAACAAAGATAAAAAAGGAAAATAAAGAAAATGAAAAATCAACTCTAGCTTTGCATTTCTCTCGTTGATAAAAGTAAAATAACGTTGTTTTTATCCTTTAGCACTTGGAGACATACTAGACCATTTCAGAGTAGAGAAAAACGAAGTGAAACACGCGTGCCATGTGACGACCCCACGTTAATCCTGTACAGATCGTATTTACGAGTCGGTGGGCTTGTACGGACGGACGGTATTCGGTGCACGTGTTCTCTCGTGTCATCCACGCACACTATCGTTTAAAAGAGTATATGTGTGAGCCGAGTACGCGCACGGGGTTATGAAAACAACACACGTACATTGAAACGGGTGGATAGGCCACCCCCGTGGTCCTCGGAGCACGTGGCTTGTTCGAAACGACGCTCGTAAACGAATCTTGGAATTTCGCAATGCACGTATTGTCGTCGAAGTCGACGAAATCGTAGATAAAATTTTCTCTTGCGGTGAGTGTGAGGAAAGGGTGAGAGAAAATGAAAAATTGAGAGGTAGAAAATGGAAGAGTATAAGTGAGAGAATAAGAGAGAGAAAGAAAGAATGATAACAACGACGAGGGATGGAGAGAGACGAAGAAAGAACGATAAAGAGAGAAAGAGAAAAGGTGAAAAAATCGCAGCAAAATGAAAAGCGATAAATACTTCACTAACAACTCGCGCGGAAAAGGGGTTGTAAAACTTTGCGAGTTATCGTCGATTGTACCTTTTTTTTCCAATTTTTGCAAACTGCCACAAGTGTATGGATAGTAAATATCAGTTTATGATACCCGATCATAAATCTCTCTAGTATTATATTTGTAATGTTTACTTGATATTTTGTTTTGATTATCTTTTTTCGTAAGTAAGAAAATATTCTTTATTTTATATATATATATTTAATTTTCTATGAGATTTGCATTAATTCTAGTTATCCGCGATAATGATATCTCGCGTTTTATATGTTTAAAAAGAATTTCGCAGATGGATTTTTGAAGAATTAAAACGTTTTCGTGCTTCACAAAGGTGGACAATTTATTTACTGGATAATTATTTTGTAAAGTTCAAATTTGTTCCTTTAATTAAAATGATGCTGTTGTATACGAGTTACGTGGGTGTTAAGGTTACGTAATATCAATGCATATGTATCTCTTTGTTTCTTCTCCTCTTTCTCTTTCATCTTTTATCTTACTCGTAAACGCAGTACTGGCGTAAAATACGAAAAATACGTTCGAAGTACGGCAACTCATTTCGTCCTCTTCAAATATTCCCTCTTTCGAGCTGAAATTCTTTACAACCGCGCGTCTCACTAAAGAAAAAAGTTATTTACTTAAAAAAGATGTTTCCTTCGGCGTGAACTTCGCTCTTTTCACCATACTACCGACGACTTTACGATGCCGTTATCGTAAATTCTCAGATATGTCGACGATCCACTTTCCTTTATCATCCAAAAGAAAGATCCTCATGTTGCTATTGTTATTATTATTCATTATGACATGTTACTTAAATAAGATGTTAAGATAACTTTTGTGAGATCAAGCAAGTACCCAACGATTTGTTCTAAAAACATCAAGAGAAATATTCCATTTGTGATAATCATTTATTTTTGGAGTTAAAAATTAAGTTCAGTTTTCAAATAATAATCTAATTAATGACTACTACTATTAAGTATATTTTTATTTATTAATATTTAAATTATTTATTTCACTAATCTAATTTATTATTTCCATTATTACTATTGGATACTATTCATAATATTTGAGACATAAAATTGAAATCAATTCAATGCTTCAATGTTATTTTAATTGTTAATGAAAAATGAATAGATAATTGTTTTTTAAGTAATTAATTTGTTCGCGGAAACAGTTTTATTTTTCGAAGAAAGATCATAATCATAATCGTTGTTCAATCGACGAAATACAAAACGATCTTCGATTTGCTTATATTATATGGAACCGAATGGCTTTTTCGAATCTTGATACCATATAATGTACATGGAGAACCTTTGTAAAAACCGGTCTTAAAATTGCAGGATGGTATAATAACAAATGAAAACAAATGGAAGGCTAGAGCCTTTCCAATGTTTGCATTATCTTTCGTTGTAAGTTTTCCCACGTACATATACGATGCATTCT